ATATCATTAACACATGGACAGACTTGCTGATATTTCGTTTTTGCCCGGATCCCGACTGCGTCTGACCTGAGTCTACTGACTTAGCAATTATAGTGCTTGCAAGACCTTGTGTGGGTACCTCGCAGGCGACGGTCAGTTTTCTTCCCACGCCGTTCATTTCAGCATCTTATCTTCCTCAGTGACCAACATAAACAGGTCATTCATTGTGCGCTGTATGTCGCCCGGTCAAATATCGCGTGGTGTTGAAATTGTTCAAAACAGGGCTGGGAGCGGCGGACGATTGGATCGGTGAGACCGATCCGATCCGATCCGATCCGATCCGATCCGATCCGGACCGGTCCGGACCGGTTCAATGTGATTTGGTCTGGTCCGATGTGATCCGTGGATGACTATGATTGAGGTCACAGTTTTGGTCTGGTCCGATCTGATTGGTGGATGACTATGAGTGACGCCACAGTTTGGCACTAAAGTCGGTCCGAATGATCGCATGGTGTTGCCACGAATACCATGTTACTGAGCGCTGGGGCCTGGCTCCAAAGCAGCCAGACACGTGACATATATCAAGCGTGCGCCGATTCGCACAGGCGTGCCAACAGTCCATGCAGCGTTTTCCAGGACGCTCGCACCTGGTCACGTGACGTGAGCCGCACGTGACCCGGAGGATGACATCAGTCGGCTGCGGCGCTGGCGCCCTCTGCAGGTGCCCCCAGCGGCCCCTCCCCCTCCGGCCCACCGGGGGAGTGGCGGACGGCAGCCGACGGGCGGCCGTCTGTCATCCGGCCGCAAACACTCGGACGCCTGAGTAATGGCGGCCGCATAAAACGGCGCGCGTTTACGCCCGCTGCAGGTGTAAACTGGCGGCGGTCGCGCCCCGTCGGCCGCCGGAGTCAAACGACTCCCGGAAGGGGGTAACTGCGGTGGGCGGCGCCGCGGGCGGGCCCGGTGCTGGCCGGCGGCCGTGGACGCCGCCGTCCCGCGGCGCTGGGGTGCTCCGCTGGCTGGTGGTGTGGGGTGCTCGGATGAGGCGCAATACCGCCGTCCCGCGGCGCTGGGGTGCTCCGCTGGCTGGTGGTGTGGGGTGTTCGGATGAGGCGCAATACCACCGTCCCGCGGCGCTGGGGTGCTTCGCTGGCTGGTGGCGTGGGGTGCTCGGATGAGGCGCAGCAAGATTTCATGTCAGTTCGTGTTGCACGACATGCAGGCGCTCTTGTTGACATGGGACGTTACAGGAAACTGTGCTGGCTGTGGGGACGGGCGGAGGGGCGGCTCCTAAATCTGAGGTCAGGAGCTTTTCACACAGTTGAGTACCCGCCGTCTTGTCTCTTGATTAAGTGATTACCATGAGAACAAACATGTGTCTAAGTTGCTGGCTAACGTACGCCGCGTCTCAAAGCAGAGATCACGTACCGTGGTCTGCCGAGAATCGTGCGGCATTGTGTTTACACTGAGGTTTCCAAATGGTGTCAGTTTAGTTTATTTCTAACTGCTGCAGAGATTATCTTATGCTGTCAATAGAGTTTGGCTGTCAAGTGTAACTATGCATAGACTTAGCTAGTTTTCGTGTTAAATATGCGATATCTTTCGGAAGATCCAACTATTCACAAGTCGAGGAAGCTTCAACGCCCGGGCATTTGGTAACAAATCGCACCCTTATAGTTCCGCAATGGAAAATTTGAACACAGTAGCCATGATGTCATGTCCCTTCCCCAATGTCCGCCCGTCCAAATTACCCAATATCACGCCCCTTCTCAATTCGCGACCCAGCGAGGGATTCTGACCTATAATCAACATTATAATCACCAACAACACCGACCCGGCGTATTCCCTGCCTCCCCGCTTGACCAATGGTGTGGTGTCAGCAGGAGGAATGTCTGGTGTCATCGGGAGTGGTGTCAGGTGTCATCGGGAGTGGTGTCAGGTGTCATCGGGAGTGGTGTCAGGTGTCATCGGGAGTGGTGTCAGGTGTCATCGGGAGTGGTTTCTGGTGTCATCGTGAGTGGTTTCTGGTGCCATCGTGGGTGGTGAGCCATGTGAGGCCATAGCACGGCGGCTATCCTGAGCTGGTGCTCTGCGAACGTGTGAGCCGCAAGCCCTTGCATGCTCCGAAATTGATCCAAATGATTCTCTTTCAACATGCAATGTCTATATTATCAAGAGCAAACTTTGCGGACGTGTTCAGGATGCAGCTGTTATTTTCGGCCAACTCTTGTCACGCAACGCCATACACACCATACACACCATTCCCCACTTTTGATGTTTGAGATGCAGATGCGCCGACATCTAGTAATCCCACTCCACGCATGTGTGTGGCTGCTCCACTTCCAACAAAATTGCTGAAGCTCATCCGATGTCTTGTAATTATGAACAGAAAGGACCGAAACTTAGACTAGATCGTGTATAACTCATAAGTTCGTAGCAGCCGTATTATAGCAACAGCGGCCCGTGTTGCATGACACATGTCCGATAGACCCCGGGAATGTCACGTCCGGGTGACAGCGGCGCTGAATCAGCCGCGTGATTGTGTATCTGTAGCTCCGGTCGCATCACCCGTGCCGTCATCGGCGATAATGGTAGTCAGCGCGCGCGGGGCACGGCCAACCGCATCAACACGAGGACAAAAGGCTGTAATTGCTGATAATGTGATGGAGCCGTGATGAACCCTGCGCATACCTCCTTGACTTTGTTATAGCCTGTCAAAATTCATTCTTGATTTATTTCCGCACCGAATAGCTGTTAGTAACAGGGAATGTTTCAGACACTGTTGCCTTTGCATCTTCTGCGCAGTTTGTTTTCTGCATAAAAGCCCTCCAGTGAAGCATCTTGAGATAATTTAAATGGCATTAAAGCTACGTGCAAAAAACGTTGAATACTCTGGCAGATACCAATCTTTGAGGCAGGCTGTAGTACCTGATTTCAGAATAATGTTTACTTCAATCGAATCCAGTCTGATCTTTGTCAATGCGCAGTGCCCTTCAACGCAAAGGCCTCGCACATGACGTTTCTCCCATGTGGACAGCAACGGTGCGCGTTGCGATAAATCAGCAAACCACGTGTTCTGTGCTTGCCTGCAGCCGATGCACCAGCGGTGTCGGCCATACTTGATCCAACGTGGTGCGGCTCGCAGCTTTTCCCAGAATTTCACGCTTGAAATTTAACCAAATGACTGCTTTATCTGTGCATTGGATGAGCCTGGTGTACATTTTAGACTTGGGTGCGGTGACCTCTAGTTCCGCACATTCTTAGCGCAGGTTGCGTCACAGCTGCCATTTTTAAGACCGAGCTTTACGAGGCACCTATGGTTGTAGGACACAGATGGCTAGACTGCGCAGTTTCTGCTCAGTTGCTTGAGAAGTAGTTAGAAAATGACTACCGTGCTTTTGCAAGCATATTGCTTTTAGTCTTTTAGTGGGTGCGTACACCAAGGTTTGTTGGGATCCACTGGAAGGAAATGTATTTGAAATGTGAACACTATCAAACAACAAAAAAAAAATGCATGCACAGTGTACCAAAAGAGTTGCAAATTTTGTGGAAACTGAGCGTGATCAGATGGTTGTAAGCACGTAAAGAGCTCGGCTCCTTCTCACGCTCATAAGGGCAAGGCGTGGTACGCTTTGGCGACCGCCTGGTGATGTGAAACACCTTGTGTTTGCAAACTGAGAGGTGGCTTGGTTGTGATCCGACAGTAGTTGTAAATTGACGGCGCTGTTAGCCTGTGAACTAACTGTATTCTTACCGTGACGATACTTGTGAAGAGATGGTGGTTGTGACTTGACGATGCTTGTGGAGTGGTGGTGCTTGCAAACTATCGATGCCTGAGAACGGACGATTTTTGTAAGGCGGCTTGCTTGTGACGCAGAAGCGTTTTGTAAACACAGAATGTCTGCGTAGTGACAGTATCTGCAAATTGGTGGCGCGCGCCAAACGACAAAGTCTCTGCTTTAGTGATGGTTTTGAATGACTTAATCTTCAATTAACGTTGCTCGTAAACTTAAACGTTCGTAAGCTGTCGGTGTTTGTGAAGTGGTGGCGCCCGCGCGCTGCCTGTGTTTGTGAAGTGGCGGTGTCCGTGACCTGCCTGGTGTTTGTGAAGTGCGGTGCCCGTGAGCTGCCTGTGTTGTGAAGTGGCGGTGTCCCGTGATGTGCCTATGTCTGTGAAGTGGCGGTGTCCGTGACCTGCCTGTGTTTGTGAAGTGGCGGTGTCCGTGACCTGCCTGTGTTTGTGAAGTGGCGGTGTCCGTGATGTGCCTGTGTCTGTGAAGTGGCGGTGTCCGTGACCTGCCTGTGTTTGTGAAGTGGCGGTGTCCGTGACCTGCCTGTGTTTGCGAAGTGGCGGTGTCCGTGACCTGCCTGTGTTTGTGAAGTGGCGGTGCCCGTGATTGTGCCTGTGTTTGTGAAGTGGCGGTGCCCGGAGCTGCCTGTGTTTGTGAGTGGCGGGTGTCCGTGACCCGTGCCTGTGTTTGTGAAGGTGAGCGGTGTCCGGGACCTGCCTGTTGTTTGTGAAGTGGCGGTGGCCCTGAGCTTGCCTGTGTTTGTGAAGTGGCGGTGTCCGTGACCTGCCTGTGTTTGTGAAGTGGCGGTGTCCAGTGACCTGCCTGTGTTGTGAAGTGGGCGTGTGGCCGTGACCTCCCGGTGTTTGTGAAGTGGCGGTGCCCTGGAGCCTGCCTGTGTTTGTGAAGTGGCGGTGTCCCGTGGACCTGCCGGTGTTTGTGGTAAGTGGCGGTGTCCGTGACCTGGCCTGTGGTTTGTGAAGTGGCGGGTGCCCTGAGCTGCCTGTGTTGGGGTGAAGTGGCGGTGTCCGTGACCTGCCTGTGTTTGTGAAGAGGGGCGGTGTCCTGAGCTGCCTGTGTCTGTGAAGTGGCGGTGCCCGTGATCTGCCTGTGTCTGTGAAGTGGCGGTGGCCCGTGACCTGCCTGTGTTTGTGAAGAGGCGGGTACCCGTGATCTGCCTGTGTTTGTGAAGTGGTGATGCGTGCCGCGTCTCAGCGTCCGCCCCTTCCGCAGAGCGTCGGGGCGGGGCCGGTCGCACGTGAAGCGTCCCATGAACGCCTTCATGGTATGGGCGCAGGCGGCCAGGAAGAAGCTGGCAGACCAGTACCCGCAGCTGCACAACGCTGAACTCAGCAAGACGCTCGGCAAACTGTGGAGGTGGGTCGCCTGTGGGGCCGGAGGCAGCAGCCGGGAGGAATTTTTGTTATATTTTTTTATTTTTGCATGGAAAGGCGTTGTTAGCAAGCTTTGAGATGTCAAACGATACCCTTCTTCCTGGAGCAATAACATCCAAACGCGTTTTATGAACTCTCAGTTCTTTGATTGTTCGCTCCATTCTCAGGTTCTAAGCTCTCAGAAAGCCATGTCACATCTCATGGATGGGCCCAAGAGGTTTCTTACTGTTGGATCCTGCGCATTTGTGTCTGAGTAAACCCATCAAAGCCCTCGACTCGCGCTGCGTGCGTGTTTCACGGCCGTAGAAACACTGGGACCCACATGGTATCATGGAAGGCTCAACAAATAGGGAACTAAGACACTGACTGTCGACCATAAGATTGGGGGGGGGGGGGGAGCACCGCAATAGGTCTAAAAATGATAATAATAAATAAAAAATAATAATAATGGGTCTAATAACACGGGCCGAGTATTCTAACATTCCGCTTAGGACGTGGCACGCGAAGAAGGCTGCTTATAACTGCCAGCATGATATCCTGTAACGCTGGCCGTGTGCGAGACTGGCGAACCGATCTCAGTCAAAGGCCCGCCCAGCTCGGGCCGCGTGTATTGTGTGGAAGGGGACGGACCTTGCGCGAGACTGGTGAGCCGATCTCAGTCAAAGGCTCGCCCAGCTCGGGCCGCATGTGATGTATGGAAGGGACTGACCTATGGCTCACCGTTCCTCGCACATGTTCGGCACGAAGCACATGGTCGCTTAAAGAAAGAATCGTCTGTAAAATCAGCCCGGTCCACCTGAAAAGCACGGGTCCGCCGCTGCCCGTACCAGGGCGGAAGTGCTCAGCCTTGATGCAGGGTGCAACGCTGCATAGACTCGTAGGTAATATATCAAACCTGGAGGAAGTTTTAGCCTTCGAAGAGCATGGTATCGGCGCCATGGCTTAGTTGGTTAAAGCGCCTGTCTAGTAAACAGGAGATCCCGAGTTCGAATCTCGGTGGTGCCTCTTTAGCACATCGAATCTGAAGCCCCTATCTTGTCTGGTTCACGAAAAATCGCACCAAGAAGCGCTTTGTTCCAAGCAGAAACGTTTCTGTCAGCATGCTCCGTATCTTATGATACTTGCAATAAAGCTTGCATGCCCAGAAGTCAACTGACAACAGCACCCAGCTCCGTTCCTGTGCACACAGTGCCTGAATGGACCCTTCTCGTCCGTGAACAAAGGAGACGAATGACTGTCTTAGTGCAGTGCCTGATACGGGCGATGGTGCGTCACTGAAGTACGGGAGGCGCAAAATGCCGCTGATAGCCGTCCGATGCATCACCCACTTGTGTGAGCTGGCATGGGACTGCTGCATGAGGTCATCGTCGACTTGTATATGAGGTATGAGGTTTGCTTACAGCCATGCAGCGAGCAAAAGCCGATGGCTAGGTGACGATACAACAAAAATTGCATAAACTTTGAACACCATCTGACGATCAGTAAATGTCCCACCTCCGCCAAGTGCTTCCAGCTTTCCCCACGTCACGGTGGGCGTTTGTCGGCATGTTTGTGCACCTTCAATGCTCTTCCGCGGTGCGTGATGCTCACAGGCCTCGGGTGAGACCCTACTCTGTCGCTATCGGTGCAAAAATGTCATTGTAGAGGCCTTCGAGACCACAGAGAATGCCGCGATCGATTATCAATGAAACCTCTTGTCGATCACTCGAGAGATAGGACAGCACTTAGCCCAATCCCGTGGTATATTGACGCTGTCGGCCGGATGCTCGGGCGCTCACGTACAACAACTCCTCGCATACATCCCAATCCCCATTCCTCCAATGCCTTCTTGCAATCCCTCCCCTGCAATCCCTCCCACGCAACATCAGGTGGCGGAAGTGGCAGCGTTACACGTCTGTGGCTCCGTTCTGCAGTCCCCCTGCCGGCCGTCCTCATACAAAGTGTCGTGATGTGGACAAGAGCGGTCCATTTTCGAGAGGTAGGCGTTCCAGGTTATCCGCTCGTGTTCAGGGACAGCACATCTTGGGAATGTGAAGAGGCGTGGAGGGGGCCATCTCTCACGAGCTAATTAAGATATCGAAACACCGGCTCAGTGAGGGCAGATTAGCTGCTTCACAGCGCCGAGGCTCTTCAGCGGAGAGGTGCTTCGGGGAGGTCATCCAGGCGGCACCAGTGCCCCGCTGTGCTGATGCTGACCGGCAGGATTGCCGCGGTGTCGGCGCACGGCTGCGTGGGAGGTTCACAGGACATGGCTTCAAGTCTCACGGGGGGTAACATTGTCCAGGGCTGCGACTGCTTCGAAGGCTGGTGCTGGAACCATGATGCAGACGTATTCGCACAAAAAGCCGAGATGGGTGATGTGAGCAGATCTCTTAATGCGTAAAACTTCGTCACTCATCCTTCAGCAATCTCGGTCAAAATGACTATCGCTGGTACCGAACCGGAGACCGAAGAACTCACGTTTGTGATGTTTGTTGCCTGTTATTGTGTTCTTTGAGTTGAAGGTGATCGCTAAGCCCTACGCGAAGGCCATGAATCACTGGCTTCTAGGCGGATAAAATGAAAAAATGACAAAGAATGCTGAGCAGAGGAGAACCGAGACTAAGTACCTGCTTTAGAGACTTTTTAGAGACTTGCCTGTAACAGGACAAAAGTGATCAACCTTGTGCAGGGCACAAAGTCATGTAGTCTCGTAAATCATATGTCAACATGCATTGATCTCAAAGGCTTTTTTAATAGAATCGTTGGCGCCATGGCTTAGTTGGTTAAAGCGCCTGTCTAGTAAACAGGAGATCCCGAGTTCGAATCTCGGTGGTGCCTCTTTAAACCCTCATAGCATCTGGTTTCCAGGGCAGGCAAACTGGCATATGGTGCGGGCGCTTTTCTAAATAATTATTTTCTTGCCCACCATACACTTGCGGAACTCTAGCTGCGGACTGGAATAGCCGGCAGTTTAGAACGCCCAGCCGCACGGGTGTCGTTTTTTTATTCGGTTAGGGCAGGATCAAAACTCCGATGCGCGCCTGCCCCGCCGGCAGCTGGCTGAAGAGGTACGATCCAGCGCTGGGCGCACCTGCCTCGCTGGCAGCTGGCTGAAGAGGTACAATCCAGCGCTGGGCGCGCCTGCCCCACCGACAGCTGGCTGAAAGAGGTACAATCCAGCGCTGGGCGCGCCTGCCCCGCCGGCAGCTGGTTAGAAAGGCTCGACCCAGCACTGGGCGGCCTTATCGCAGCAGTCCACGGTGACAATAATGTTGCTGCTTCGTCCCGCTGGACTGAAAACATCGGAGAGGAGCTTTATCAGGCGAGCTGAAGCTGCGTTTACCGCCATTGCCCTTGCCCGACACTGGATGGCCATGGGTGGTGCTTTAAAGGAACTGGCTCTCGCAAAGGGTTTCTTTTTCAATTTTGTGTTCGTCGAGACAAGCAGACAGCTTGGACGAGAGACAATTTCAACCCAACGCAACTTCGAACGCCTTTTCTATCTTTATTGGGGCCTTATGTTTGACAGTTACGTTGTGAATAAACTCACGTCACGAGCAATCACCACTTTTTGGTTTTTGGCTTCCACAGGTCCCGCACTGAGCCCCAAATTTTGCAGAACTATTACAGCGTCAACATGTATTTGAAGGCCCTCAGGTTTTCCAGGGCCCTGAAGTCCAGGCTGACTCGCCACGTGAGTTCAGAGTTCTAACGCTGACAGTTATCGACCATTATAGGGAATGTTTCACATTTGAAAATATGGAAGCATGAATCAGATATGATGAAACAAGCTTGCTATTGGCATTCTTTTTAAGCGGAAAGGACTTCTCTAGACAGCGCAATTCTACACTTAATAACTATGCTCCTCAATGTACGATGGTTTGATTACGTCATCGTACCTTGCACAGTATTGACTGAGAGCCAATTGACGGCCGTTACATCTGGAAATCGTGCTCACAAACGCGAGATGTGAACGCCTCGACGATAAAATTTATTAGCCTTGATCGCCGCGTGGCTTATGGAATGGCAGGATTTGAATGACGCTATTATGACGTCATGAATGTCAAAGTGGCTTTGAACTACTATCCTGAGTATACCTTTCCCCCATTTTGCGGGCGTGTAGCTCAGAAACTAGACGGGCTTGGGTCTTAAGCGGGGCATACTTGTGAGCAGCACCGAAAGATCTTCAACATGGCTATTTTAGTTCAAAACCTCATACAATTGTGGAACAATCTCTTCATGTGCCGGGAAGTACTACTTAAATGGAGTTAGCAAGAACACATTGGTTATCTTGTCAATAATCTATGTGTTCACGCTGTGGCTACAAGATATAAGCACATTAATGTATTTCTGTTTGTAGTTACACACTTCGTAGTTTAACACTGACACTACCTAGCAAGCTGCTCTTGGAAAAACCCGTGTAAAGGGTGAAAATTATAGGACAAACCCAGCAAAAGTTCACTGGCAAGCTCACCAAGTAAGTGTCAAAATATGGCACACCAGGTGGAACAATTTTCTGAAAGGAATATGCGAAGACCAGATGGCAATAACCACCCACGCCTCAGGGTCCAAACCGTGGGTAATTGTCATGTAAACAACTGTTGCCACAACTGCGCCACCGATCGGAAGACTCGAGCGTTTAGATAAGACGATAGTATCAGTCTTATTCTTTGGAAAAACCAGGACAATGGAGATATAGTTTGGTTGATATTTCGGCAACATACCTTTATCGAAACAAAAGCAGAAGCTTTGCTTTTGTTTCGATAAAGGCATGTGCCAAAATATTAACCAAACTGCATCTCCATTGTCCTGGTTTTTCCAAGGAGCCATTCTCCTGGTGTTCCAGTAGTATTAGCCTTATCCTCTCATTATACGGAGGAATACGTCTAATACTACCGTCTTATCTATGCGAATAATGTTCCTCGCTAATGCACTGAACAACTTACATAGATTTGAGCGTTTGATTGTCATTTGCCGAGAAAATGTCGGAAGGTTTTGGCA